AGGCTTTTAAGAAATGCTCCAGGTGGGACCAGCAGTTAACGTAATGGCTATGTCGCTGGACTCCCATGTAGTCGACTGAGGTTCGAATCCCAGACCCAGTGGCTTAAACTCACGCTGGGCGTATATGCGTGTGTGCCCATGATCCCGAGAGGAGAATGGAGGAGAAGGGATTGCAGCGTGGCCATCCCCCCGGGGGGTGATTTCTCGCTTTCTGTCTCTCTCTCTCTGTCTGTCTGTCTGGCAAGCACATGCGTCCTATAGCAAAGAAAACTCTCAAAAAAAAAGAAACAAAGAAAGAAAGAAATACTCCAGGTGACCCTACTGTTGTCAAGCTTTTGGACATGCATGTTCCCATTTTTCCAGTGAACATGAAGATAACTTTTCAGTCCTGAGAGTTGAGGAAAAAAATCGGACTGAAAAGATCTTACCTCAAATTTGAAGTGCACCCTTTACCAGCCCAAAAGATCACAATTAACTAAGGAGAAATTCAGCCTAGAACACTGCCTATTTGGCAAAATAATAAAGAGTAGTTTTCATAAATTTTAAGAGATATTTTTGGCTATAGGGCACATAAGTGCACTCGTTGGAGAGAGAGACAGAGACAGAAAGCCAGAAATCACTCCCCAGAGGGAATGGCCATGCCACAATCCCCAGTCCTCCATTCTCCTCTTGGGATTTTGGGCATGCAGGCACACACACATGACTTTTAAGCCATCAAATCTGAGACTCAAACTGTGATCAACTGTGTGGGAGTCCCGTGATGTAACCATTACGCCATCTGCTGGTTCCTCATAATTTTAATATACTTTAGTACAGTAATATATCTTAAATCACAAATCGTTCGTCAGAACACTTTGCGATTACCGTTTTGCACAATAAGGTAAAGAACTCCTATTCTAGAAAACTGACTGGGCCAGACAGTGGCATAGTAGTTAAGGAGGCTTGATCCCACATGGCCAGCTGTGCAGCCTGAGTCCCAGACTCAGCAGTGTGGAAAACACACCAGGCACATTTATGTTCCTATCCAAAGTCCTGATAGGAGGGAGAAGTGGAGAAGGGACTGCAGAGTGACAGTGCCCCATTGGGAGCACTTTCTCGCTTTCCCTCCCTCAGTCTCTCTTTAGCAAGTACACATACCCTTTGCCAAATTGAAAAAGAAAAAAACTGTTAAGTAGAAGATTGACTTTCACATATTAGGTTTTTAAAGTTACATCCACAGGCTTACCTATTGCTCCTCCCGTGTTACTGGTGCTCATGGCACTTCCTCCTCTGGGTGTCCGTGCTCTAGTACCTCTCTTCTGAAAAGTCAAGGAGGACAGCCGAAGGGTCAGTTCTATGGAACAAGCTGACATCATATAGGAGCTCCCTATTTGTCACCCTGGAACCGGTGTAATAATCTCCAAAAGGCCAAGCGAGACTACCGCCCAGACTTGTTAGAAGCCACAAGATGCCAGTCAAAGAGGGTCTCCCATGTTACAATCAGCTTGCATACCTTGGAAATAAGCAAGTCATGCTGCTCAAGTTTGAGTGGTTTGTTTTTCTACCCAAAAATATCATTGAAATCATCTAACTCTTGTTCAACATCATGGTAAAGGCCCAATAAGTGTCCATCTTAATCAGGCCCTTTTGCCACCTAAAATATCTGGAAAATTATCTTTTTTAATTGGCAGAGGGTGCACATGCTCACTAGAGGGAGAGGGAGAAAGCACCTTCGATGGGGTATAGCCACACAGCAGTCCCTTCTCCATTTAGCGGTGCTGTCAGGATTTGGGGTGGACATGTACACACACCCAGGGTGGTATTTCGAACCACTGGGCTTGGGATGTGAACCATGGTTAGCCATGTGGGATCCGGGTCCCTTCACCACCAGGCTATCATACCAGCCCTAGAAAATTCTCAAATCTTAATTTGCCTTCCCTAGAACACATGGACAGTCTTTGTAATAAGACAATATAAACACAGGGATAAGTTTTTTTTCATCCTGTCATCCAAGTAAATGGGGCAGCAATTGGTAAAAGAAATACAGCTCTCCTTGCATCCGAAGTACTTTACTTCAGGATAGCGTTATTTAAAAACAATTATCTCTAGTGCTAAATGAGTTTTCATTAGACTAGATATGCTCTTATCTCTTAAACTGTGAGCCCCATGGAGGCAAGGACCTTGCTCTGTCACCACTGTTTCCCCAGCTCTTATATACCTGGCACATAGTAGACACTTAATAAAAAGTTTAATATACAAAGGCCAGAAAGGACTTTTTGTTTTTAAAGTTTTTTGCCATAGGGCTCAGGTACTCCCCAGAGAGACAGAAACAATGAGAGGGAAAGTAAGAACTTACCCCCTGGGGGGGGGGGGAATGGCTATGCCACAATGCCTTCTCCGTGGAAAGTAAGAACTTACCCCCTGGGGGGGGGGATGGCTATGCCACAATGCCTTCTCCGATCTCCCCTGGGATTTAGACCACACATACACAGGCTGCTAGGACTCAAGTCTGGGACTCCATGCGGTTGGCTATGTGAGAGTCCATCACCTTAATCACCATGCCACCTGCTGGCCCCCAGAGGGGATGTTAAGGGAAGAAAGAAGCCATTAGATTTCATATTCTTTCACATGGACTACTCAAGCTCTCCTACTTCCCTGAAATTAGGAGCAGGTATCTGAAATCATGTCATATCTACTGATAGTAATTCTTTAAAATAAGAAACGTATTTTCCTAAGATATGGAATACCTGCCAGTATACACAGTTTTAACTACTTACCTTTTAGCTTTTAGAGGAATAAAATCTCTTAATGATCACATAAAACCATATAGTAAATGGAGGAAAAGAGACAGTTGGATCACTTGCTGAGCCAAGTAAACTTTCTTTTAGAAAGTTAAATTTCAGACTAGGAGCTAGTTTTGATAAACCATGCAGATAAGAAGTGTCTCCTCACACAAAGATCCACGAAGTGCCAGTGCCACAGTTTATTACACTCTCTCTTGCCCTACAGCAAGAATATCACAACCCTCAGACGTCATTGGAGAAAGCATTCAATGCCAAAAGACCTTTCTAGATCTGTGGCGATGGAGATTTTGCTTTTCTCCCTCCACAGCCTTGATTTGTCCTTGAATGTCCAGGAGAAGCACCTCCCACCACCACAGCCCCTTCCAGACATGGTGTGTGTGCTTACATACTGACCCTGCAGCCTGAGCGGGATTTGGTACTGGGGATTTAAGCAGCATTCATTTTTGTTGCCTACAAGCAGGAGAAAGATTGCTAATTTAGGGGAATTCTGAGTGTAAAGTAAGTCTTAACTCTCCAAAGGGTTTCTCTTGATCCCTTCCTCCTCTTTGGGTGCCATACGCTGTAGGCCCTACATTCCATCTCTCCTAGTGGTCCAGTTACAGAATCGAAAGTATCATAGTGAGTCAAAGCCATCTCCCATTGCATCTGTTTATTTACCTTCTGTGATAGGTGAATGTAGAAATTTCCAGAAGTCAACTCTTTTTTTGAAAAGAGATAGTGTAGCTCATCCACAGTCTAGGATATAGCCCCAGTCTCTCTTCTTTCACACCCAGTTTAAGTGGAGGTTCCTGTTCAGGAAAGTCAGGGCGGGGAGGGGGCAGGGATTAGAGTCAGAGGTAAGCAAAGGACCCCTGTGTGAGTGGCAGGGCCAAGGCTCCCTGACAGTCTTACCAGACACCTGACATTTGTGCTGTTAACTTCTCGTGCCTGTGGTACAGTTGACATTGAGAAGCTCACATTCCAGCCCATCATCCATCTAGAGTGATTCACCCCAGGGAGAAAAGAAAGGAGTATCGAACAACAGCCGAGACGGCTCGCCCAGAAGGAATTAGAGTTGGGTGTTTTGTTTTGTGTTTTTGGCAGAGAAGTGTTGAGAGACACTACTGCTTCCACCCTATCATTAGTGGGTGGGTAATAGTGATATAAAATAAGAGATGAATTAGGATAATAAGAGGCGAAGGAGAAAGGAGTAAAATTTCCACAAGTAATATTTTTCTCTTCATGGTTATGTGACTTGGAAACAGAACTCGAAAGTAGTAATCATGGTTCTATAGCAGACAAAGGACAGAATGTGGGAACCAGACAGGAAGGTGTGATTGCCGTTATTCCACTAAGTGGAAGCAGCAGAATGCACAGCCCTCAGGACTATACCGCTGCTGCCCTTGCAGAAAAGCACAGAGAGGGAAGAGTCATATGGGTGGCTTGTTTACGGTGGGTCATTTTATGAAGTGGTTACATAGTAAAGCATCACCAAGTGAGGTGATTAATGGCATAAAAAACCTCTAAATCAGATGGGCAGGTGTTTTCTCACATGGGCTGTCTCACTGCTGTAGCCCCAGAACGAATAACTGAGACCTACTGACACTCAGTCGTTGATTCAGAGATGATACATTAGTGCCTACAATGTGCATGGAACTTAGACACTGGGCCGCAGTGATGAACCACACACACGGTGCCACTGGCCCCATGGGGCTTACACTCTGGAGGGGAAACGAACACCAAACAAGTAACCACACTCACCAGTTGTTGTAAGTGCTATGAATAAAAATACGGTGTAGGCAGTGTAAAGGGCCACTCATTTTCTACTGGGAGAAGTGGAGGCCTCAGAGGAGACCTGGGGAGCTAGCAGAGCGCTTCAGGTTGGGGGAGGGCAGGATGACTCAGTCCCGTGTACATTTACCTGTGACCTGCTAGAGAGGGCCCAGAATGAGAAGTGTATCTACTTAAAGAAGCTCAGAAGTGAATCAGAAGATTCCTTTGCTCTCTCAGAATGGTCCCTTAAATGTTTTCCTTACACTCTGATTTGGAAATAAAAACTAGTATGTTATTCTGTACTGTATTTTTCACTGGTGCATAATTTTGTAAAGGTCTACATATGTTTGCCTTAAAGGGTTCTGTCAGTTTCTTTATAATGCTACTCCTGTTAAAAAGAATTCAATTACATTTTGTCATCCTTACACACATATAATGGTGGTTCCATATTTTCTGTTTACTCAGCTCCTACAGAACCTTTATTGTGTAAGTTTGCCGATGGAGGACAGAAGAAGAGACAGAACCCGAACAAATACATCCCCAATGGAAGACCATGGCATAGAGAAGGAGAGGTGAGACTTGTAAGTCCTTTCTTGAAACTTTAGTGTGCGTGTGGAATCATGGAAGCTCATGAGAAGTTAACAAAAGGCATCTTGACTTGCCGCCACACTTCTGAAGTAGATGCTGGGATTATCCTCTTCTGGTACATGATAATTATGTGATGTCAAATTAAACTCTTCCCAGTGTGTATGATGCTAACAGAGTGATGATTCTCCAGATGGACAGATAGATGATGGAGACAGCTGTTTAATTGCCAGCCATGCTTAAAGTACAGGAACATCCTAAATTGCTAGGAGACATGTACAGATATTTTGAGTTTTTATTTTCTTTTATGCTATAGTTCTTAGAGAGCTTTATATTAATATTCAAAAGTTATTCTAAGACAGTATTGAAACAAACAGTATACTTTTCACTGAGGGTTTTTTCCCCCATTCTTTTAGTAGTTTTCTTTAAAAAACAAAAAAAATTTAGTTCCGTAATAAAATGTTGAGCCACCATTTCCTCACATTCATTCTTTTCTTTTTTTTAATTTGACTATAGAGAGACAAAGACAGAAAGAGAGAGAGAGAGTGAAAAAGCAAGCCGCCAGCTCTGGGACTCAAACTATGGTCAGCTATGTGGGAGTCCAGCACCTTAACCATCATGACACCTGCCAGCCCTCCTCCACATTTATGTTCAAGAAATTGCTGGGTTTTGTTTTGTTTTCTTTCTTTTCTTTTCTTTTTTCTTTTGTCTTTTTTTTTTTTTTGAGAGGTTTATACTATAGAGCACGTGCGCTCGCCAGACAGAGAGAGACAGAGAGACAGAAAGCGAGAAATCACCCCCCCCCAGGGGGGATGGCCACGCCACAGTCCCTTCTCCTCCGTTCTAATCTCAGGATCTTGGGCACGCATGCACACGTACCTGGCGTGAGTTTTAATCCACCGGGTCTGGAACACGAACCGCGGTCAACTACGTGGGAGTCTAGCAACATAGCCATTACGCTAACTGCTGGTCCCTCTTTTTATTTATTTTTTTTTGGAGAGGTTTTTGCTGTAGGGTGCACACACTGGCCAGAAAGACACAGAGAGAGAGAGACAGACAGACATAAAGCGAGAAATCACCCCCCAGGGGGGATGGCCACACTGCAATCCCTTCTCCATTTTCCTCTCAGGATCTTGGGCATGCACACACACACGCCCAGCATGAATTTAAGCCACCAACTCTGGGATACCAACCGCAGTCGACTAACCAGCAACATAACCATTATGCCATCTGCTGGTCCCAACTGAATTTGTTTGTTTTGTTTTGTTTTTTTAAAAAAGGGGGCCAGCAGCTGGTGCGGTGGGCAAGGTGCTCAATCCCACAGTTGACTCTGAGGTTCCAGTCCCAGACCTAGTAGCTTAAAAATTATGCTGGGCATGTGTGCATGCATGCCCAAAATCTCGATAGGAGAATGAAAAAATGATTGTGGCATGGCCATCCCTCTTGGGGAGAGGGGATTTCTCACTTTATCTCTTTCTCTCTTTCTTTTTGATGAGTACATGCACCCTATGGGGAAAAAAATCTAAAACATGCACACACGTGCATGTGCGTGCATACACACACACACACATACATATGTCCAAGGGTGTCTGGGGAAAATGTTCTAGAATCTATACTGTCTGGCAATAATCATTAGCCACATGTGGCTTTCTGAGTACTTGGATTGTAGACAATATGCCAAAGAGATTGACTTTTTCTTTTAGTTTTCCATAGTTATATGTGTACTCTACTGGCTAGTGCAGGTCTAGAGCTTAATTTGCATCCTAAGTATATAGTTATGTTTGGCTAAAGGAAACTTCCGACAGTGGAAATGTTACTAAACAATTACGGTTTTGTGCTTTCGTGACTTTTAGAAATCGAATTTTTAAATCATGGCTTTCCAAGTGGATGTTTATATTTCTTTCTCTTTCCTATAGGCTGGAATGACACTTACTTACGACCCAACCACAGCTGCTATACAGAACGGGTATGTCCTTAAGAGAAACATAATGGCTGGAGGGAAAATGTGAAGGTAGACAATATCAGACATTTGTTCCATGAATTATTCCATTTAAAGGATTACTTAATGAAGGCTTTTGTGTTTGTTCTAGATTTTATCCTTCACCATACAGTATTGCTACAAACCGAATGATCACTCAAACTTCCATTACACCTTATATTGCATCTCCTGTATCTGCCTACCAGGTTTGTACCTTCAGGATTCACCAGTAGTGTGATGGCTTACGGACCGTGAACCTCTGCTACATTTTTATGTGTTTTAAAATTTTGAACATTTATAATTAAATTTAAATCAAATATTTTGCAGCTTGCAAACCCAATATAGAATAAGCTGCTTTTATTTAGAATATTTATGGCTAGAAAGATGCAAAGCAAGGGAGAATGACTGTCAGTTAACAGTCCTGGAGTCACAGTATTTTGGATTGGGGATGAACCCAAATATTCCCTCCACAGTTCTGCTTTTGGACACCATATGTGCTAAAAATTGCAATGTCAGAGAATTGCCATTAAGTAAAATTCAGAGTAGGTGTACACCCTTGTTTTTGTTTGTTCATCGGAAACTGATAAAAGAACAATAAGCATGCTATATATCTCTAGTAGGTAACATTAAATAGGCAGTGCAGGTGAGGTTTGAGGTGCCTCCTCCAAAACAGAGGTGAATTCCTATTTGTGTTATTTTGTGAGGAGGCTTTGCCTTCAATTCTTACCTCAGAAAGAAATCTCATTCAGCGCCTGGTTATAAGACTAATTTGATTTGATCGTGCGGTTAGCTGCTGCCCTCCGTGAAGCCAATGGTGTGTGTACATGCTCTTCTCCCCGTGTCTGAGAACCTCTAACAGGTTACTGCCTTGGCCCAGATGGGTACTTTGATGGACTTCTGTTAGAGACAAGTGGGACTCAAGTTCTTTGTCGACTGTTGGGATCCCATATGACTAAACTAAATTTCTATGCATTCTTGTTTTTCAAACAATTGAATTAGATGTTGTAGTCTGGGTTTGGGGGGTTAAGGGAGACTATAATATTTAATTTAATAGCTATATTATTTTACTTCTGGAGAACCTCAGTTTCCTCATCTGTAAAATCGGGATAATACTCATTTCTATCTCATAGACCTAGGAGAGTTATCATAGCTAAATAAGACTGTGAAAAGTGCTCAACCAATCTGGTGTATCTTTAGCACTCAACAAATGTTAGCTATGATTTTCATTTCTAACATGCAGGATTAACTGGCTCATAAATCAGCACATATTAATTATACTTTTTTAAAAAAGAATTATTTTAACTTTATTTATTATTATTATTTTCCAGTTTGATCAGAGAGAGAGAGAGAGAGAGAGAGAGAATGAAAGCCACCAAGTCTAGGATTTAAACCATATTTGGCCATGTGTGAGTCCAGTGCCTTTAACTACCATGCCACCTGCCAGCCCCCTATACTTTTTAAATAATGAATATATTGGTCAGCATAAGCAATGTTAGAAAGCTAGTTCTTTTCAAAAACATAAAAATGGCTTTGGATAACAAAAAGAAGTGGTTAGATATGCTAAAAACTGAAGTTTTAAAGTAGCGTTTGCAACTTCCCTTAGTTTTGAGATTCTTTTATCCTCCTTTCCCTGCATCCTCACTCGTGTTCTTTTCTTTATTCTCTCTGGGTTGTTATGTCACTTACTCTGATACTCCCACCTGCTGAGCATAGTATTCACTCATTAATATCTCTGTAATTGTTCTGGACTTAAGATAGCTGCCTTTCTCTTGCCTAAATAGGACTCTGAGCTTGCGATAGTACATTTTCCAAAGGTAGTGTTCAAAACAAACAAAACAGGTAGTCTTAACTATCTAAACTTGGAAACCTCTGTAATTTATATATCATCAAAAATGGGGGCAAGCTTATTCTCAGGCAAATGAAAGATTGTGCATATTAATTTGAATGTATATTGCTATAGAAATTATGACTATTATTGTATTTCTTCACCTCTGTTTCCTTTGTTAATATAAAACCAATGTGCATTTGGGGCATAGAATCATTACACAGAATAAAAAAATAGGAGACCAGCGTCAGTAATAGATTTGATATGGCTAACTGGAAACAACATATTACTTTAAAGATCTGATTTCCTTTTCTGGCGTTCTGTATTTCTCTACGATAAATGTGAAATTCCATTCCATTCCATTTGTGTGATACTCAGTGCCATTAGCCTCTGCAACTGATTCTTAACCCTATAAATTCAAGAACCCACATTTAAGGTCAGTGGAAGTGCTTTAAGTGATCTGTGATTTCTTACATTGTTGGCAAAATGTCGCTTGTGTGCATACAATTAGTTGGAGAAAGTGGTCTATTTCTTTTATCAGATATTCAAAGGTATCCAGCACCCAGAAAAGGTTAAGAACCAATGATAGAGTTTGTGGAACATACATTATTATTCCCATTTTATAACTAGGGAAAATTGAGGAAGAGAAATTGACAGCAACTGATTTGCCACGTAAGAAAAAAATTGAATTGGCTATCATAGCTCCCTAACCTCGTAATGCTGTAAGCTGTTAGGTTATTAAGATCACTGAAGCATATAAATAACGGGAGCATCTGGCCCAAATTGGGGTCTGTAGGGAGCTACTTAACTCCCCGTGACTTATCCAGCAAGGGCCCTACACTGGGGTTGGAGTGGGCCCCTCCCCACTAATTCACTATGTGCTTATGCAATTGGATTTGAGAAATTGCATAAGCAGGAAACCACCAGCACGCCAACCAGGAAGGCTGCAGTCCAGATAACTGAAATGTTAACAAGGCAGAAACACTTAACTTTGATCTGCCTTAGGTGGCAAAGGAAACGAGAGAAAGCAAGTATCAGGGGCTCTGCGGTTAAGGTAAATCACATACATTCTTCCCCCACTCTTCCCCATCTCCTCTCTGTAGAACCTCTGGAGTTAACAGTAAGGGGATAAGATACAGGAGGGCCTTGTGAGGAACTAGAAACCGAAACCCATTTTAAGATTACTAGACTCTGGAAAGCTCTGAGCTTTCATCATCAAACACACATTTTCCTATTGACTGGCAGGCTTTCTTTCCTGCCGTAAAATCTGACTCACATCTAATTTCTCATTTCAGAGGGTCTACTGTATGGATGCCCTTTTGACTATAGATATCAAAATCTTGTTACTAAAGTTTAATTTCCTAAATCTAAATTTCAGATGATTTTTCCACATTAACTAGAAATTGTTGACCACCGCACAAGAGCTCTGAATCCTAATGTCCTGGGGTATCAAAGAGAAACTGAATTTGGCTAGTCTTATTAAATAAGTACGTACTTTAAGGATTAGTGTCTAATAAGATGTGCTGGAATTAATCCTCATTCACCTATATTATTCCTAAGGCACCTAGTTCATACCGTGACTGTAACACTTTTCACTAATTTGTTTAAGTTCTTTACGTGTTTATCTCCCTTGTTTAGACAGTACATTTCTTGAGGGTGGGCCCATGTTTTATTTGCCTTTTTTTCTTTGGTGCCTGATACTCAGTAACTATGTCTTGAGTGGGCAAATAATGTAGAAAGTGGTTCTAAATAATCATTTCATCCCATTCAGAGTAACTAGTTTGCCAAGAATTCTAACTGCCCTAATCTTAATCTTTGATAGTCTTGTGTCCTTATTTTCCTTCTGTAGATTTTTAACAAGATTAAAAAGAGTTCTTAGAGAAATTAGTAAGCGTTACAATGGAAATCAATGTTTCTTTCAAAATCCTTCCTCTTTCAGGTGCAAAGTCCTTCTTGGATGCAGCCTCAACCGTACATCCTACAGCACCCGGTAAGTTTGCCATCGTACTGACTTTGCAAGTAACTTGTGTATGTGTCCTCCAGAGGTTCACGTCATTTGCCAAACGTGGTATGGAATTTCGTAAACTTTAAACATAGAGTATGATATCTGAGTTCATTATAAAACTTCCACTCACCTTCGTCTTAAATTGGTAGTAGACATTAATTTCATTTTTCCATAGGAACTTAAAATAACATCCTATTTGAGGCAGGGCACCCTTTTCTTTCTCATACCAGCTGAGTAGAAGATCATTCAGTTGAGTGGCTACCTTAGCAGTACTTGGGATTAAACAGCTCTAGACATGTTCTGTATTCTGCTTAACGTAAATATAAAGTTCACAATTGAGGTGAAGACTTTCAGCAGTGCTACTTACCTGCTCCATAGAAATTATAAATTCTAAAGGAGTAATGCATTCAGTGGTATATAACAAATGAATTGGGTCATCAGAAAAGTCATGACATTTTTTCTGTGCAAAAATGCATTGTGACTTTTCTGACAACCCAATAATTTCCTAGTGACATGAGCCTTTTTTATTCTTAGATGTATATTACACTTTTTTTAAATTAAGTTACACTTCACTTTATGATACCATGTATTTAATATATTTTTCAAAGCTATTCAAAGTCCAGTCTGCTCAAGTAAAATAGGGGATCAAAAAGTTGAAAAATAAGAGTGGAAAACAAAATCACAAATAAAGCTAAGAGTGCCCAACACAATGACTTACATGCTTGCCATGAGAAGGATGCAGATTTCTAGCAAAGCTTTCTGGTAACCACCTGTGAAATGGGAACCCGGGTAAAAATGCAGTTCACAGTATTTATTTTAAAAATAGATCAATTGCTTAGGAAAAGAATTTTATTCTCGGCTTTACCATGAGACAGGAATCATCTCAGGATACCTCCTAAAGTGAACATTGTGTAAGACCATACGTATTAAAGAGCGGTCCGGGGAGAATGGGGTCGCAACAAGAAGTTGCTCAAATGTTCTTTAGGAAGCAAATAACATGTTTAGGTGGTAACAGAGAAAAAGGATATGACAGTTTCTGAAGTATATATGTGTATGTATGTGTATTGTGTAAACTACACACTGACACACATATATCTCTACATGGACACACACAGATGCATCTAGTAATCCACACATGCCCGTGACAGTCTATGTCCTTGGTACTCTATGCTGCCCTATTTTGGCATGTTTGGACATCAGCACTTTTAACCTGGGAACTTCCTAGTACGGTACTCCTACAGATGATTACAGCAAATGAGAAAAAGGAGCAGGAAACTCCTTCACCGTATTCTGGGCTTCTGAGTCATTTCCATGTTAGGGCATGCTTTTTGGTGATGCACATTAAAAAGAAAAACTTGTCGTAAAATGTATTAACAGCAAACAGTATCTCTGACACACATCGTTCTTCCTTCCTTCCTTTCTTTTCTGTTTGACAGCTTATAGACACAAAGACTGGACATATCTCAGTTTAACATCTTCAAGCAGACATTAGGAGTGTGTGCAGGTTTCTATCTGAGGGCTCATTTCCTTTCCCCAACCAGATTTAAGTTACCTGACTTATATCAGAATGGAAGTATCTGCACAACTACTTCTGCCCTAGACATGTATATGCAATCATTAATAAATAATAGTGTATTTAAGGGATGTCAGGTACAGTGATACCAAGACGTATATTAGTTTTTTTGTTTTCTCTTGTTTTTTTAGTTTGCTATAGGGTGCGTGTGCTCACTGGAGAGAAAGAAAAAAAACAAAAGCAGGAGAGAGAGAAGGAAAGTGAGAAATCATGCCCTGCCCCTAGAGGGGAAACAACATTCTCCTCTCAGGATTTTGGGCACACACCCACACATGCATCCAGTGTTTTTCAAGCCACTGGGTCCAGGATGCAAACTATGCAACTGGCCATTGTGGGATCCAGCCACCTTATCTTCCATGCCACCTGCTGGGCCTTACATTAGTATTTACAGAGTTGTCAGGATACTTGCATTCTTAATTGGGTGACTGCAGAAGTAAAAGGAATGGTCTAATCCATGAAATAATTATGTAAGAAAAATTGGAAACGACTCAAATATCTGAAAATTAAGAGTTGAATTGTAGTTTATATAGTCAGTGTTCTATGATGTAACCATTAAAAATAATGATAGTGATAGCTATGCAGTAAGTTAGTAACCATTTATAAGAGAGTGCTAAATTTAAAAACGAAATCTCAGGATATGACATCGTTTACCCACTCTGACTACAAGTGTGCAGAAACCCGCAGAGACTACAATCTGGGCAGTATTACCTTGCCTTTGCTAACAGCCGTTATATTAGGCTGGGTTATGGAGTGATTTTCACCCTCTTCTATTTTCTTAAATATGTTTAATTTGATTTTTAATGACCAACTTTTTTTTTTCAAATAAAAAATATGGAATTTTACGTTATCCATATGAATTGGCTTCCCTCCCCTGTCACCAAAATGTAGCTTAAAGTTCTGAAAAACACCCAGTGAATGAAAAATGTGCCCTCAATCCTAACAAGCTAATCTTGAACCAAATAACCAAATGACTTTCTGGATAGAATATTTTTAAACCAAACACTATTAATCACATTATATATATTGTATTGGAGCTTTAGAAAACGGCAACTGTCATTATTTTAAGTGTGTTTTGTTGTTGTTGTTTTTTAAAGAAAGTATTTGGTAATCTTAGCCAGCCAATGGTAATCATTTGTGTTTCCTGATATAGCTCCTCCTGCTGGACGAGCGTGCTTTACAGTTTAGGAGAGGGACAGGAGAAGCAGAGTTGTTTTAATATAGAGATTTCTGAGAAGTGAGTGCCAACATATCATTTCCCCTAATGCTCTTACAAAAATCTTGGAAAGAATAAACTAGAGGAAGATTTTTAGGAAACTGCTTATAATACAAATCATTTGTGAGCTTGAGGGAGGTTATTTTTGCTTCACGTTCCTCAACAACCTAAGGGATTTCTTTTGCAAAAAGTGGTTACAGAATTTTAATTCCCTCCTTCAGTTTGTCTTATGTAGCTCTTATCTCTACTCCCTAGGGTGCCGTGTTAACTCCCTCAATGGAGCACACCATGTCACTACAACCTGCATCTATGATCAGCCCTCTGGCCCAGCAGATGAGTCATCTGTCACTAGGCAGCACCGGAACAGTAGGTGGCAAATTAATATCATGTGTCTCTGCAGACCAAGGAGGGCAAATGAATACAGCCTGTATCATTCTTATCAAATTGCAGTCTCTGCCATGCTAAATATTATGTCTGACCCCTCACTTCCCCTTATGTTTCCTTCCACAAAGCAAATACTCAGGTATTTGAAGGAAAAGATGAAAGTGATCCATGGTGTTAGAGGCAGGAACTTTTTCATCACTATTTCTTTTATAGAATTTATGGGCATAGACTTATGATCTTAATATTTACTTATCTCACCAAAGTCTCTGAGACTGAATTGGCTAATGAGGTTGAGCTGGTACAAGGTCAGTCTGCAGGTTGCTATGATTACAGCATTTAGATGGTAAGAGGACTTAAGGCTTTTATTCAGCTGGTAACTCTGGTGGTTTAAAAGAATAAAGGATATAGTACATCCTCCCCCCTTTTTTATCCAATTATTTGTCAGAGGGCATGTGCACTCACTAGAGAGAGAGCGGCAGGGAGAGAGGAAGAAAACACCCTCAATGGGGCGTGATCATGCTGCAATCCCCTCTCCTCCATTTCTCCATCCTGTTGGGATTTGGGACTTACATGCCCAGGAGCCTGGCACATTTTCAAGCCACCAGGGCCAGGATTTGAACCACACTGTTGGCTATGGAGGATGCAGTTCTTTTCTGCCACCAGGGTATGGAGCTGGCTCATATTTTCCCCCTTATACTCCAAGCCAGCAAAAACTTCCTCTGAAAGCTAAGCCAGGGCTACACACATCAAATGAGATTGACTAAAAGTTTCTCCTGCCTTTGGTAAAGGATGCTTTTGAGTATCAGGAAACCAGGGCTCCCTCCACTACCTAATCTGCAGTGACCTCCTAAAGATGTACTAAGACATTTGTCCCTTGGACCTCCATGTATAGAAACAATTCTAGGTACTAGTTCAGGGACATGCTGGAAGGTGAGGTCCTTTGAGAAAAGATCTTCTAAAATAACACATCAGTAATATCGAATTATTGAGGATGAGAAACTTCAATGACCTTCACACGTGTGCTCTTTGTTAGGCAATCCAAAAAGTAGAAAATGCCCTCCTTCACTTTGCCTTCCATATGATAAGCACATGGGCAGTAATTTAGTTTTGAGGTAGCCCATGTCAGTTTCTTCTTTGAGACTTCCAGATATTTTATATCCACCTCACAAGTCCCTGAATACTCAGAAGTTTGCATGGTTTCCCTTTGCCCACCCTGACTTTGTTCTTCTTTTCAGTACATGCCTGCAACATCAGCTATGCAAGGAGCCTATCTGCCACAGTACGCACACATGCAGACAGCGGCGGTTCCTGTTGAGGTTGGTACATCAAGTGGCCATTCTGTCAGTGGGTTGTTTCAAAAATTGCTTTAAACAGAACTCAAAAACAAACAAACAAACAAACAAAAACTCTTATAAAAAGTCAAACTCTTATATAAAGAATTGCATTTATGAGACCAGCAGACAGTGTAATGGTTATGTTGCTGGACTCCCACATGGTCATTGGTCAACCTTGGTTGGAGCCCCAGATCCAGAGGCTTGGAACTCATGCTAGGCACATGTGCGTGTGTGGCCAAAATCCCAAGAGGAGAATGGAGAAGGAATTTCAGGGTGGCCATCCACCAGGTGTGTGTGTATGTGTGTGTGTGTGTGTGCGTGTGTGTGTGTGTGCGCATGTGTGATTTCTCATTTTCAGTCTGTCTCTCCAGTGAGCACCTGTGCCCTATAGCCCTATAACAACAATCTCTCTTAAAAAAAAAAGAATCAAATTTGAGGGAATATATGGCTAGAGTATTATGTTCAACTATAAAATATGTTCTCTCCATAAAATAGCTAACAACAGCTTTCTGTGTACTTCAGCATACCAAAAAAAGATTTGGAATGTTCCCAGCACAAAGTAATGACAGGTGATTGAGATAATGGGCATACTAATTATTATGATTCAATCATTATATATCATATTTATGTACGGAAATATTATGCCCCCACAAATGTATATAATTATATATTAATATAAATAAATAAATACACCCCCCTACAAAATAATACATTCTCTCTATACAAATTAGAGTAATAATATCCAGGCCACACCCTTAAGACTCCCAGAAATATTTTCCAAGCCTATAGTGTATTTTCTACTCCATCAAGAATCTGTCTTGTCTCCTTTACAGTGATGCTCATGGGCACATTAGAGTAAGTCTGGAGTTTAGAATCCTAGAATCTTAAGATTATATCAGTAATGATGATGATGAAACAAATCAGTTGTAATTACGATAGTTAATAGAAAAGAAAAAGACAATGTTTCATAACTGTAGAGGGATGAGGAAGAAACCACATCTGTTTCTAAAGAGGCTTTTAATATAGCTAAATAACTCTTTGTTCTTGTTATTAAAGATACTAATATTGATATGGAAGAAGTCTGACACTTGACTTATGATTGCACCAAAAGTATAGCATTTTCCTGCAAAGTTCTCTTAAAATTATAAGGAAATTCATCCATCCAGGGGATCCTGCCCACAGTACAGATCCTAGAGTTTCCAGTTCCAGAGAGGGCCATAGGACTGTGACTTACTGTTATCATTATAATTTGCTTCTGATTGTGCGGTTATTAACAGCCACCATTACCAGAGCCTACAGTTCCTTATCTGCAATTCTGAAACCTTCCAAAAAGCTGGAAATAAAAATTCCCTCTCTAACTACATTAGTAAAACCTGCCGAATGACAAGACCCAGCTTGAACTGAGACAGGACAACATATTGACCTCCCTTACTGTGCTTATCAGTATAGCTCTATTAACATGTTTGATTATAAGGTACATCCCTACACCCTACTGGGGGTCTTATGTATACCATATCTCAGATCCTAAGATCTGAAAATATTCAATTCTAAAACAAGTCTGGCCTAGGGGATAAAAGAATAAGAGAGCTGGTTGATAGATTGTAGCTTGATAAGAATAGATAAGTCATGAACATTTAGATGGGAGTTTTTTGGGTCTTTCAGAGCCTTCTTTTTTTTTTTCTTTCTTTCTTTTTTTTTTGAGAGGATTTTGCTATAGGACATGTGTTCTTGCCAGAAAGACAGACAGAGACAAAGAGACAGAAAGCTAGAAATCCCCCCCCCCCCGGGGGGGAGGGTCATGCCGCAATCCCTTATACTCCATTCTCCTCTTGCGATCTTGGGCACACACACACACACATGCGCCCGGCGTGAGGTTTAAGCCACCGGGTCTGGGACTCAATTTGCGGTCGACTGCATGGGAGTCCAGGGACATGGCCATTACACCAACTGCTGGTCCCTGTCAGACATTTCAGTTCATCATTTTAACCTTAAAAGCACTATATGACATGAAGAAATTGGAGAATGCTTGTTTTAAGGTTTATGCAGTTGGACTCAGGCATGCCTATGTAGCAGAGTTTGGACTTCAATGCTAACATGTGTCTTCTGCTCTGCTCTCTTGTAGGAGGCAAGTGGTCAGCAGCAGGTGACTGTAGAGACGTCTAATGACCATTCTCCATATACTTTTCAACCCAATAAGTAACTGTGAGGTATGAGGGAAAAGTTTCCATTAATATGGGGTTCGAAGTCTATGATGTTTTATCAAAATGGTGCTTACGATAACTGATCATGCTGCTTAGCTATGGTCAGGGCACCTACTCACTGAAATGTTAAAATCAATATCATAGATTTATCATTCTGTTCAAAAAGAGCAATATTTTATATTGAAGTCAAATCTGTGACATCATAGAATACCAGGTACTTGGGGCCAGCAGATGGCATGGTGGTTGAGGTGCTGGACTCCCCAGTAATCAACCATGGTTTTAGTCCCAAGTCTGGCGGCTTGAAAATCATGCTGGGTGTGTGTGCAGGCATGACCAAAATCTTGTGAGAAGGATAAAGGAAAAGGGACTTCCATGTTGCCATCCCCTCCTGGGGGAGGGGGGGGTGATTTCTCACTTTCCCTTTCTCTGGCCAATGCACACACACTGTGGCAAAAAAATAAAATAAAATAAAAATAGATGAAGAGATACATAGATAGAACACTAGGTGCCAAAATGTCCTTTAAATTACTTATTATATTGCTTTAATACTCATAAACCTAACACTTAAATATAGTATAATAGAGCATAAGATGTTGCTTAGCCTAGCATTACAACATTAGTAATATCTTGACTAGGAATTTATGTTGTGTTACTGTCTTTCAACTAAGAGATTGTATTCTCAGCTCTCACTTGAACCACAAATTTCAAAATTTTCACTTTTGTAGACTGCAGTTAAAAAAAAAAAAAAGTTGCATGGAACATAGAACAGCCTGGTTTGTGGATTGCCCTGTTGATAATGTATATTACTGAGTTCATAAAATCATGCTTCCTGTTTATTGACTCATATGATTTTGGCTCTGCATCGCTCAGAGAGGAAAGTGTTTTGAAGCCCCAAAAGTGACAGGCCAACACAAGGCACTGAAATGACCATCAGTTCCTGAGTTAGTATTTATTTATCTGCCATGTGGGATAAGCACAGCCTTTCTGAAATACCTATCTCTTTGAAACCAGAGAAGGATTACAAAGTTCTGTAGTGTGTTATACCAGATCTACAAACGCATTTGTCTTTTTCTCTTACAGATGTACAGAAGTGTGTTCTTACATGAAGAAGGGTGTGAAGGCTGAACAATCATGGATTTTTCTGATCAATTGTGCTTTAGGAAATTATTGACAGTTTTGCACAGGTTCTTGAAAACGTTATTTATAATGAAATCAACTAAAACTATTTTTGCTATAAGTTCTATGAGGTGCATAAAACCCTTAAATTCATCTAGTAGCTGTTCCCCTGAACAGGTTTATTTTAGTAAAAAAAATACAAAAAAACAAAAAACAAAAACAAAACAAAAGATTTTTATCAAATGTTATGATGCAAAAAAAAAAAAAAAAAAAAAAAGAAGAAAAAAGAAAAAAAAAAAAGAAAACTTCAATTTTCTGGGTATGCACAAAGACCATGAAGACTTATCCAAGTGCATGACCGGATTTTTGTGGTTTTGTTCATTTTGTGTTTAATTTGTGTTTTTTTTTCCAGCTGTATGAAATGGGCTTTCTGAAGTTTAACTAGTCCGACTTCATCATGGTGTTCCGTGCTTGCCGTGCGAGTGTTGCTGTAACTCAGTGTTGCTGTCAGTGTCTCCTTTCTTAGCTTTCCGTTTTTCTTTCAACGTAGTGTGAAGTGTCTTATCCTTTTCTATGAATTCCAATTTGCCTTAACTCTTTTGATGCTGTAGCTGTTTCAGTGAAAGTTAGTTCAAACTAATGATGTAGAATGCTTTGACCAAATGAGCTGGTCTATTATGCCTTGTAAAACAGCAGCATAGGGCTTTTAAAAGGTAGTCAATAAAAGTTGCTGAAATTTTGGCTTTTTTAAATACGTAGTAGGTGTTTTTAATGATTTTTCACATAATGTGTAAGGTAGTGAAATGCAAGAAGGGAAAAATGTTTTGTGTGAAACACATTTTCTGACTGGGGAACTTTTAATAGGGTAACTCGTTTGTAAGGCCGTGCGCCCAGTTTCCTCTGATAGTTTGACTGATTTAGGATATCTGCTGTATGATGCAATGTAAAGTCTTTTTTGCCTTTTTTCAGGAAAAAACAAAACTAACTTGATGTTTTAGATTTAGTGTAGGTAGTGTGGGGGCTGGGGGTGGGGGGCGGGGGAGGGGAGTCACAAAATGTCTTGTCCTTCCTTTGTACTAATGATAGTGCTTTAGAATGAGAACTATGCCTGAGATCTGGCGAACGGAAAACAATGTTGCTGTTGCAACTAAATGGCAAAAGCTAAAAGTAAGGATTTATCTTCAGACATAAGCTGAGATATGATTAGAAGCGAAATGATTGGCTACTAGCTCTCTCTCTCTCTCTCTGTTAGGTAAATTTGAAAAATAAAAATGACTTGGCACTTTTAAAGGTAACTTCACCAAAGACCGAAGAGCCAGTAACCAGTAGCTCCAACTTGTCTCAGCATCACATCTTCTGTGCTCTTTATTTTTGCCGGACCAGTTTGCGGTTAGGAGAATGTGCCTTTTTTGTACCTTTGCATTTAGGTTTTATAATTTTCATTGATGTATGGACACACACACACAAACAAAAAAAGCATGAAGGAAGATTTGGATCCAAGCAGTGCCACACTTTACATCATCACTACAAGTGTTCAAGTGTAAAGAAAACCAATTTTGAAACTATGAAATTCCTGATTCATAAATACACAGTTCTTTCTACTTTCGTACCTAGGAGATAATTCACTGTTATTAAAGCTCTTTTATTAAGGCAATTGCATACATTTTAAAAGCAATGGTAAATTACGTTGTCTTCCAAAACTGTGTACCCGTCTGGTCAGCTGTGTATGATCAGTTATCTACCTCAGAGTCTATTTTCTTTTGTGCTGGGACAGGTTGCTGGCCCTCCCTGTCTCCACAGACCAAATCCTCCTAGCTCAGGAGCTAGGGCTAAGCAGTTATTTCTTTCGAGTATTTTTTAGTTCTTAAATTGTATGCTTGTATTTGATTATTGATGTCAGTGACATTTCATAGTTTCAAAAGTCCTTGCTGCTCTGAGAAGTGTAGATTCTAGTGAAAATTACATAGTCATAAGAGAATTGTGTTTTTGTTTTAGTTTTTGTTTTCTTTTTTTAAAGTTGTGGTATTATTGGTTCTATGCTCCCTGGAATAGTACTGCTTTGTGAAAGTCCAGACTGAACGCAGCACCCTCCATGTACCTAGTACATGTGTAGACCTGGGGCTCTCACTACTTGATATTTTTGCATTAGTTAAGACAGAAGTTTGATAGCTCGGTTAGAGGGGAGGGGAAATCTGCTGCTAGAAATGTCTGAACTAAGTGCCATACTCGTCTGGGTAAGATTTGGGAAACATAACCTCTGTACATAAGATAAAAAAATAAAAATAAAAAATAAAAAAAAATCAGTTAAACATCACATAGTAGACAGCCATTAAATTATAAAAAAAAAATTAATTTATGAAGAAAGACCTTTTGTACAGATTGAAAAAAAGATTTTCATAGAGATATCTATATGATCAAGAGAGTTAATTTTTTATTTTTGTTTTACTAGTGCCACGAACTTGCCAGTGGTAACTTATTTGTCCGGTTCAAGATAACTGTAGTTTTCTTTCCTAGGACTTGTTGTTAAACGCCAAAAGACATTTTTGAACTGTACATTTGATCAGATTGTTAGCTTTTTCTGTTTTATTTCTTTTGAGAACCTTTGAATAAAAAAAATCTGAAATTTTATTCTTCCTGTCGATTTTTTAAAAGCAGATTAAATGTACGTCAGAATTTCATTTCTGATATCTTTTATACAGCTCAGATTGGTGTGAAAGTCGGTTGAAAGTGATGTCATATTTAATATGTACACAAAATACCTTTTCTTGAAACTAACTGGAAAAGCCTCTCCTCCCCCTTCTTGCTGGTTATTAAAAGCTGTCGTAGTGACTGGTGACATCAGCTCTGCACATTTCATGTCAGCCACGGTTCAGCCCCAAACACACCACTATGGGTCTGTTCTTAAAGACCAAAGACCCAGGCCCCTTTCCTTCCTCCTTTCCTGCTGCTCTTTGACTGCCTCACTGCTTAGGAAGATGGAAGAGTCTCCCCTGTGCAGTAAACACGCATATGGATAAGGAACTCAGGGTGGGATCTCAGGATGAACTTTTCTGTGGCATTATGACCAAGAACCTCTTTGGAGCGACCTCGTTGGGCTACGTCCAGTAGGAGACTCCAGTCCAGCATTCCCTGGGAAAAGAGAACTCTTTTGGGAAAAGAGATCTCGTCCCCTCACTGCCATGCTGTAGTGGAGACATTTAACATGAAAAATTGACTCCTACCCAGAGGATTGTATGTTTTCCTGTGGCGGCATGGTATTCATGTTGTGCTCTGTCTCAGTAGTAAAAGGAATGGGCAACTCCCATTTCTGCGTGCCTCCCCTGCACTGTGGATGGTGTGCACTGTGCCTGCCACAGGGAGCCGAAAGCGCGCTTCACTTGCTAGAACCAAGAGAGCCCTGGAATTTGATGGCTCTTTCAAAACACAGGAAACCCACTCCTCTGATGTTAACTATGTTTCAGAGAGAACAATGTCAGGAAAGGAAAGAAGCATGGCCTCTGGGAGCCAGATAGGCTGCTAAGAGTGTACGCTGTGTGGACCCATTCTGTGTCCCAGCCACATACCTGTGTGTTCTTCCTGTGACCAAAGACCAAAGGTACGAAAGAAATGCTATTGAGGCTGCTGGGCATCCTAGGTTTTGCCAACCTCTCTGTTTTCCTGTTTTAAGAACACTTGATGTCACTAGAGTCCTAGGGGCATCCATCTACCTGCATTCTAAGTGGAAACTAATAAATACTCGAGAGCTCTTCTGTGTGAGGAGAGTAAAGCCATCGTGAAGCTGGTTCAGAAAAGGAAATCAGTCACATATGTGGGGCCTTCAAAGAGTTCATGGGAAATAGGCAGCGAAGGTAAATTATGCTCGCTGTTTCATTTGGCGGTACAGTGTAGGTACTTGCTGGAAAAAGACAGTAGTAGAGAGGGAAAATGAGGAAGCACCCTTCAGGGAAACTGGCTACGCCATTCCTTCTCATCCATTTTTCTCTTGGGATTTTGGGGGAGACACGCCCAGAGTAGTTTTCAAGCCACTGGGTCTGGGACTTGAACTGCTCAGTCAGCCATGTGGGATCCAGCGCCTTCACTGCCATCATGTCACTGGCTAGCCCTTGGGTTTCAATTTTTTTTTTTTTTGGCAGCAAAATAAACTCATACTTTAATTCTATTTTTCCATGAACTTTTGGAAGTCCTTTGTATTAAAAAAAAAGAGGGAGGAGTCACATTTTTGGGGATAAGCCTTGCTAAAGACTGTGAGACTTCAAGCAGGGAGGTCCTCGGGAACTAAGATTTTCTTTTTGTCTCCGAAGCTGGGAGGTAGAATTCTGGAGTTGAAAGAAAGGAGAGAGGGTGTGGTGGCTGCTCTCTGGGATGCCCAGTGTCTCCCCCTGTGTTGGCTGAGATGAAGGCCTGGGAGCTCTGGGCCACTAGGTGTATTCACTAGGACGATGTGCCTCCCAGCATTAGAAGGGGCTCAATATAAGTTAAGATTTCACTGATTATAGCCTCATTCCACTAGGGCAGCCAAAAAGGAAGAGATTTATGGGCATTGGGACAAAGGTCACAGAACTGTCACAACCCCAAGCTCCCTTCCACAAAGGCCTGAGATGTCCCATAGGTGGGGGAGGGAGAACTGCAGCCCAGGGTTTAAGGAAAGCCAAGCAGTTCGAGCAGTTCGTTCCTTCCTCCAAATAGCAATGTGGTGAGGTCAGCACCCTCAGTCTGGGATCAGGGGGCTCTCCTGCCAGATGGTGGTCACGTGAGCCCAGGGCCTCAGGGCGAGCGCCCACAGCAGCCAGGAGGTCTTGGCACAGCTGAGATGCATGCTGTGTGCACAGCCCTTGGTGTGGGATGAGCTCCGCCAGGCAGAAGAATTCCAGTCCTGCAAAATGGCTCCAGAGTGTCTCCTGTGTCTCCACTCAGTCTTCACAGGGCAGGACAATGTTTGGGCTTGAGCCACTAGAGGGAGAATTTTATCATCCTTCAGCCCTTGTCTGTGAGCTCTGCAAACCTGAGACCTAGAAATGCATCCACTGGGACCAGGACTGCGGCCTGCTGGTGGCTGTTTGGAATCTCAGGGTGTACACAGTCGGGGATAACATCCTGAATTGGGGCTCACTGTGAGAACGGCAGTGCCCGCACCGTGAGCATTTGTTGTTCAGACTGAGGAATGAAATGGGACTTTTCAGGCACAGTCTTGCCAGACCACATGACTCAGGCGCCAGAAAGTGCTGGCAGGTCTCTGAGCTACTCAGAATTGAAAACAGGTGGCACTGGAATAAATGCAAACTCTAATGCTATTACTCATTTTTTCAATGTGACTTCGAGAGACTTAAGGTTTGATCTGCGTCATTCCGCTGCTCCCTTCCACCAGGCACAGTTCATAGAGGAGACTGCAGGGATCTCCTCTCTAATACCCCAGACACCACCACCCTGCGTGAGCGCCCTCCAGAGGCGGGCACTCCACCTCACAGGGCATCCTGTATCTTTTTGGAACAGCTCTCACGTGAGCCTCATTTACAGAGCCAAAATCGCATCCTCATCATTTCCACCTACCCACTTTAGTTCTGCCAAGTGGGATCCCACAGAGTACAC